CGAAAACCACCGCCTTTTTGAATGCGTGAACTCCAGTCAATGTCCGACGTTGATGCGCTCAAATCTGTTTACCAGTTGTTGTTACCGATTCCGTTTGTTCGCTTATAATATTTGTTTCTACGTGTTGTATTGTGTTACCGTATTAGCCTTCTGTGTACATCGTGATAATTGTTACGTGTGATAAATTGTGGGATTCCCGAATACATTGGATTACCAAGAAACTGTATGTATTATTAAACAACACCCGTATATACACACGTTTATATCCACAAATATAAGTAAAATATAGTATAATAAGAAACAATTGTAAAGCTAATGAGAAGGAAAGAAAGAGAAAAACTAATTTGTATAGAATAAGAAACAACAGGAACTGTAAATATAAGATAAATAATAATACTAATAAGAATATAATGTAATAGATATTAAGAACAGCTTAATGTAAAAAGTAAAAATATAATGTAATAGATATTAAGAACAGCTCAATGTAAAAAGTAAAATTAAAATAAACAAAAGAGAAAAGAAAAACTCGCATAAAAAATATATGATAAAGAGAAAAGAAAAACTCTAAAAAAACAGAAATACAAAATAAAAGAAAGAAAAAGTCCTGCCACTGAGTGGGGAAGCCGATTAAAAAAAAAATGACAATCTCTCGGACAGATGCACATTATCTACGGGAGTTTCTCAAGGAGGCATCTTATCCCCGCTACTTTTTTCACTACTTATCAACACCGTGACTAAATCTTTAAACCGCAGCTATCATCTCTACGCCGACGACTTGCAGTTGTATCGTCATTTCCCCGTTTCCGATGTTAACGAGGCTGTATCGGCTCTGAATGAAGACTTAAATTACATACACAACTGGGCTAAATGGTATGGGTTGCAGGTAAATCCCTCAAAGTCTAAAGTTATGATGATAGGAAGTGCTTATATGACGAAACAGTTGGATTTGAAGTTGCTGCCACCCGTGGTATTTGATGGCTCAATTATTCCTTTCTCCCTTACTGCCAAAAATTTAGGAATCACGTTTGACAGCAACTTGAATTGGAAAGCTCACATTAACGAAGTCAGTCGTAAAGTATTTTCCTCTTTTCACACATTAAAATCTTTTCAATACTGTTTACCGATTGAAACCAGAATTTCTTTGGCCCAGTCACTGATTCTCCCCAGTCTGGACTACGCAGACGCCTGTTATCTGGACATCACAGAGGAACTTTTGACTAAGCTCGAACGACTACAAAATTTGTGCATACGTTTTATTTTTGGCCTGCGTAAATATGACCATGTTTCCAAATTCAGAACACAACTTAAATGGCTTCCTATCCGTCTTCGTAGAAATTCCCGTATCCTATTTCTGTTATTCAACATTTTGCATAACCCAGCGTATCTTTGTGACCGCTTCCAGTTTGTGCGACCTCCGGGCGTGCTCTGCAGATCACACGTTCGGACTCTGCTTAAAATACCACCCAACCATTGCCGTACCGACTTCTACAGCGACTCCTTCACTGTTTATTCAGTGAAGTTGTGGAATGCCCTGCCGTCAGAAATTAGAGACATCACAACACTTCCGCTTTTTAAAAAAATAGTCAAGGAATATTATCTGTCCTTGACATAATTTTTTCTTTCTCTCAGTTGTTTTTTTTTCCTATCAAAACTTCTTGTGTGTTCATTTATATATTTATTTGTATATGCTTATGTATTTATTATATATTGTTTATATATTTTTATTCATATAGTTGACATGCATTTATTTTATATTTTTTGATTAATATGTTTTAGTGTAGGTACACGCGACATTTATGTCTCCCAGCATAGCTCCTATCGCAGGTGGGCTGGAAGAGATTTCTTAGAGAAATAAGCCACACCTTTTGTACGTAATTATTTAAGTATTTTTTATGTATTTTTATTTCGTGTACAATAAATTATTAAATAAATAAATGTTGGGAAAGCACCATTCTGTGCAGGCTCTGCTAAAAATTATGGTCGCTTTCCAATTACAGCATTATAGCGCATTATGCTGCATAATGCTCAACGTTGAGTGTTCCAACTACAGCAACGCTTTGCACAATTGCGCACTCTCAAAAGTAATGCTTTCGTGTGATGCGTGCAATCGTACCAACTCAGAGACAGAAAATTAACAAGTGTTTTTTCTTTAAGTTGGCATTGATCGAAATGTTTTATTTAAATGTTATCGTTAGTAATATTATTTATTGTTGAAAAATTATTAAAACTTTCGTTTCATCATAGTTTTTTTTAAATAATCAAAGTTAATTCAAACTGTGTTAAAAATTAAATATAATTATGGATGAAGGTACAAAAATTGACTTTTTTTTTCAATACTGAACTTAGCGCACTCTGCTGGTGCGTTTGAAAACTAATTCACGTTCCAATTAAGCATCAGCATAATTCGGCATTGTGCGGCACTGAGTCGAATTATACTCTGTAATTGGAAAGCAACCTATATTCCTCATCTTGTTGTCATAGGCTGCACCTGCCATTTAATTCACCTTGTCACGTCTTATGCTACCCGTAAACTACCTATAAATTTAGAAGATTTGTGCCGCAACATATGATGGTTTTCCAATTACAGAGCATAATGCGACTCAGTGGCGCACAATGCCGAATTATGCTGATGCTTAATTGGAACGTGAATTAGTTTTTAAATGCACCAGCAGAGTGCAAAAGTCAATGTTTGTACCTTCATCCATACTTATATTTATTTTTTTAACACAGTTTGAATTAACTTTGATTATTTAAAAAAAACTATAATGAAAAGAAGGCTTTAATAATTTGTCAACAAAAAATAATATTACTAACGATAACATATAAATAAAACATTTCGATCAATGCCAACTTAAAGAAAAAACACTTGTTAATTTTCTGTCACTGAGTTGGTACGATTGCACGCATCATACGAAAGCATTAAACGCGCTACTGACATGCCTGCCGCAGGGCCAATCTAGGGTGCACGGCGGACGGCCCAATATCGGCTTGTCTCTACACACATGCCTGCTATTCAGTGTTCGGGCTTATGTTGAGCTAAACACACGCGTTGATGATAGTCCCAGTGTTATCAAAAAATATGTTACCGTAAAAAAGGAAATACTGGGTGAAGAATTGGCAACAGAAAGAAATGTATTGTAAATAAGTAATGTTTATGATTAGAAAAAAATCCACGCGGACCTGGCAGCAGACGGGACTCGAACCCACACCCTTCGCTATCCGGGCGAATGCACTGATCAATTATGCTACCGCGGCCCTGACAGCCGTATCGAATTCTTTCTAGCCTTTCTTAAGCTGCAAGGCAGCGCCATCTCTTCACATTATATGTAACCCACAATGTCAAAAATAGCAATTAAAGTCATAAATTAATTGTTTAAGCATGTAAGAATTAATAAAATTTAAAAAACTGCTCAATGTTTGAATCTAAAGAAAATATTACAAGAAAAAATTAATAAAAAAACTATTTCTATTTTTCTAGTAATATTTTCTTTAGATTTAAACATCGAGCAGTCACATACTTAAAAAATGAAAATTAATAAAAAAAATATATAAATAATGTTTGTTTTTTTTATCCCACATATGGGGCCGGTATTTATATACTTCGATCACTTGTGTCCAAACTTCATGCTCATTATGATCTGCCGCCATCTTGATCGAAATACGTGCGCTGCGTGTGACAGCTACTAACCGACTGATTGAGAAATTGTCCCAATCGCGCCACACACGCGGCAACGTGCAGGGCGGTTGGGACAATCTAGTGAGCAAGGGTGGTCGCGCGCTCCTGCCGCCCTGTCGCAGGCCCGATTTAGAAAATTGTCCCAATTTGCCTACACACATCACAATTCAGGAGGCAATTTAGGGTCATCCCCACTCTTACACCCTAGATTGTCCCTGCGGCAGGCAAGTCAGTAGATGCTTTTACTTTTGAGAGTGCTCGATTGTGCGAAGCGTTGCTGTTGTAGTTGAAACATTCAACGTTAAGCATTGTGCCGCATAATGCGCTCTAGAGCTGTAATTGGAAAACTACCTATATTTTCACATGTGTCCAAAGAAAACAGAATCCTTAAAACTTTTTCAAGACTTTCAGAATATTGAACATCTTAAATTACTTACTGCAGCGAATACAAGATCAAATCCAACAAAAGAAATAAGCTCTCTCACGAAACGCTTAATGGTTTGTTACTTGATACCGCTAAATGATGTAATGAAAGGTAGGTAAAGTAAAGAAGTATCTCTGAAGTAATTTTTCATCTTGACGACTCTGTTATAACAATACAGGGAGAAAAAAGCAGCCTTTGCTGAGTTTCTTGCCGGTTCTTCTCAGTACAAGGTCTCCCATTGTAGTTTTGTGAACCGATGGCTTAGCTTCTTGACCTTCATAAGTGCTTGTAACAGCCTAGACTGATTAAATGAGTTTGAGTTTGAATTCTGGGGAAAAAAATTATCTCGGGGAAAATTTGTGGAAAACGTATCTTTGGGGAAACTGTTGGAGAATATAATAAAATATTATGGAGAATTTTTGGGACTAGCACTCCTAAAGTATATATATATATGGCAGTGAACGATGAAAGTCCTTTTTATTTAACGGACATCCTGGCTAGTATGCAAGAAACTATATAGAGCCATATCAAAATGGTCTTACTATTTAGTCTTTAATTTTCAACCATGACAAAAAAACAGCTGACGAGTTTTGGGGTGATGTTTTGTTTGAGTTTGCTATTTGCTAATGCTGCTGTAGAACGGGCGTTTGCGTTGATGAATATCGTTAAAAATAAACTGCGAAACAAGGCTCATTAAAACAGCAGACTATAAATCATAAAAGTGAGAAGTGTCTGGGAAAAATAGGACTGAAAAAGTATCTACTTGATATTTTGAATGAAGCTAAAATTAACAAATAATAGGCATTTTATTTATTTATTTATGTAACAACGCTATTGGGGTTTATTTAGAAAACGTATCATTTTGGGGAAATTTAAAAATTTGTTTGGGGGAATCACATAATTGAATCTGCCAACCCTGGTTCCGTTCCGTTTCCCAAACCCGTAATCTGTGGAAATTCGGAACGCGGCGACCGGCGTTTTTTTATTTTGCTAAATGGACGCTGGAAAACAAAAAATCAAACCAAAGTAATAAGAACTTTTTCTTCATCGGTTTTGTGATTTTTCATCACATTTTCCACCACCAAATTATAGCTAAGACTTTCTCACTAACTAATCTCGTTTATTGGTATGGTGTTATTAATGCCTTGTGAATAATATCTTGCTTTGATCAGTAGGTACCGCCTAGTTTTAAATTTCAATCAATCAAGATGAATACCATGGACACGAAAATTAAAAAATGTTGTCCAAATTGCAGTCAATTTTACCAGCTGAAACGTAAGTTACAAACCTACGATTTTTTTAAAAGGCTTCATGTAGCTATGCATTTTTCGGTCGTACAGTTGGAACTCTTATTAAATGTGAAACCTGCATAGATCCCTTTTCAACCCTCGAATTTAGAGTGTGGGCAAGCCCACTCTTGCCCCCTCCTAACTATGTCCATGAAATGTATCTTACGCTGGACTAACCACTTCTAATGATAAGTTTGAAATTTAACATAAATTTCGTCCTGGCTAAGCTTTGATGATCTTTTATTAAGGTTTTCACCTTAAACTGAATAATAAATAAATAAATATTTCCAACACACACCAATTAGCCTAGCCCCTAAGTATTATACTAGAATATTTCATTCAATTTAGCACCCAACTATAACAAGCAGTATTTGTGTCCTCATAATAACTGATGAATTGAAATCTGATATCTCTGTAGATGTTTTCAATGAATGTACATGTTTCTTTTTAAACTAAAATTTTACGCAGTCTTCCTGATGGTAAGCAGTCACTATATTGTCTCATAGGATAGGAGTGTGATACAAAGCTGGCAAGAACACAGAAATTTAGGTATACTTCAACATCTACTTAGTGTAACAGACTGCATTCCTTTTCAATTTAGCAGTCTTTTACTCCAATAATCCAATTTGACAAATAAATCCCAGTATATTTTATTTGTGTGGTGTATGCAAGAGCAAGAATATTTTATTCCTATATATATCCTTAAAAGTTGTTTTTTTAATTTTAAGCAGTTACATTTAGTAGCTACCTTTATAAACTTTTTAAAATATAGATTTTAGATTATCAGAAAAAAAAACATGGTGATTAGTTTGAGACTAAATAATGAATATAAAATTTTAAAAAAAGTCTATAAAGCGACCACTTTCCTAGCATTGATTAAAATTTTGAGTAATGTAGGTAGCGTGTCAATGACACAAGGCCTTAGTGACACAAATAATTATTGGAAGTTGTCTAAAATTTATTATTATTTCAAAAAAACAAACTTAATTGTTTTTTATTATTTGTTAGTTACGACATCTCCATCAAAAGGAAATATACCTTTATTGCTGACATGTGGACATTCAATGTGTGAAAAATGCATCGGAAACATTGTGAAGTTCATGGAACCTATTGAATGCAAAATATGTACTCGAGACATGGAAGTAAAACAATCAGATTTAATGTTACTCTCACAGAACAAAATGAAATTGTATGATATATTCCCTATAAATATTTTTATGCTGGGTGAACTCACTATACAGCTTATGGAGGTAAATTTTTACTGTGCTCACCTCATTTCATAATAAATTTTATCATTGTTTTCTTCCCTTAAAATTTATATACATATTTGTAGGAGTCTAATGAAAAGATGCAGAAACTTCACGAAACTGATGACTATTATATTGACTTACAATCTATAATCAAGAGTAGTGACAACACCCAAGGTAATATACTACCAAATATTGTTTTAGTATTTTGTAAAATTATAGAATAAAATATAACTAATGTGTGTCTACAGGTGAATGCCTAGAGTGCCATAAATCAACAACTAAAATGTGTCAACAATGTGCTACAATTTTGTGTGACACATGCTTCAATAAATCTCATAAAAATTTTGTTATCTTCAAAAACCATATTCTGACTAATATAGGTAAGATTACATTACTTATTACTGGCTTTTGTTTTTGTATCAATCTCTTTCTAAATATTGCTTCATTAACTTTTGCTATTACAGTAAATTTTGACATAATTTATTTCTTGTAGAACCTGTGATGGAACTAAACTATTGCAAAGTGCACAAAGAAAAACCATTAGACTATTACTGTAAGGACTGCTCTAAAAGTATCTGTATGGATTGTATGATGGTTGGTGGCGAAAAATCTTGCAAAAATCATAATGTTGTGTCTATGCAGGAAGTGGTAAGTACTGAGTGTTAAGTATTAAAATTTATCTTTAATACTTTAAAATGACTTGTTTTATTTATTACAGAATACAGACTTCATGAATGAATTAACACAAGTTTTACCAAAAGTCGATGAAACCTTCAAAAGATTGACTAAAACTGCAGTTGTAAGTGTTTCAATATAAATGTAGTGGTTTGTAATTCAGACATTCTATAAAAAATCTAGGTATTGCCAGGCCTGGAGGTGTTCAGGAATAAAGAAATATTTCAGATCTATTTCTTTTAGGGTTCTATAGTCCAGACAAGGAATTCTTATAGTTTTGTCATGTCCATCTGTCTGTCCGTCCCTGTTTTTGATTAGAGATTGTTAGCACTACAGAGCTTTAATTTTTTGGAGATGTTTATATCAATCATGCCAACAAAATGGTTGAATAAAATTTTAAAATATTTTTTTTGGTAGCTACTCTACATGTGACCTAGAGATTTTATTTTTTCATCATCTACCCCATCGTGTGGATTATCGTTAAATAGGTCCTTTAAAATTACTTGGGGTTTACATGTCTATTTTTTGATTATGGGATCTGTTTGCAAAATATTAAACTTTATAGTACTAATTTTTGTTTGTGCTGGGCGTCCCCCCCCTCTCTAAAAGCTAAACTATTAGCCTGAAATACCTGAAAAAATTCATGATAATAGTGCTTTTCATGAACTTTTAATGAAAATTATAATGGTTAAAATATATTAGTTACTTTAAGAGTAATATTCGTTCGACTAGAAAGTATTAGAAAATATTTTACCTAATAAAAATTCCTTGGAAGAAAACATTAAGGGTGACTTAGACGAATTAATTTCTCAAAATATATACACTTTCTAAAATATTTTGTGGTGACGACGAGCAACTAAATCCTGCGCGTGGCACGACACGACACGTCGCACTATGGGAACTTTGACTCATTTTCATCTCAAAAATCTATAACTCCTGTGTTAATAAAGATATCACCATGTTTTTTTTTTCTGATAATCTTAAATCTATGTTTTAATAAGTTTATAAAGGTAGCTACTAAATGTAACTGCTTAAAATAAAAGAAACAAACATCATAGTAGCTCAAATTTCACTTAAGAGCTATTTTTTTTCATCAAAAAGTTCTAAATATTTTTTATTATAAGGTTTTCTCAGACTTGTTATGTACGGATCAGAGGTATACAATAGTGTGTAGAACATCTTCGTTGGTGGTTGTCCTCGAATAATTTCTTGCATGATGAAGCCTGAACTGTTTATAGTTTTTGTTCCGTGACTCTTGAGCATCTTCTAAAAGTTGCCCAAGAGGCAATACCGAAAAATGACGTATGACACTTTCAATCCCATCTCCAATTTGTGTTTTGGCTTAAGAACTGTTCTTTCTATCGACCAGCTTTAGTATAGCGTTGACGAAACTGAGTTATGAAAGACTTCTGAATACTTGCGATAATTTTAGCAATATTTGCATCTGGAGGTTCGGTGAAATTGCTTCGTATATAGTTAGTGATGGAAACACCATAATTTGTATCACTTTCAAACAATAAGAGACTTAGGTTGCGTTTGGTACACGAGAACTGACTCATTGCGGCGAGATATTTAAAAAACAATTATTTACGACAAAAACTAATGAAGAACTGTAATGTTTCGTATTCAAATGCACTATTATGGATTTATTATACCGAAAAAATATGGAAGACGTGTGTACAATTAGTAGATATAAACTATTTTACGATTTTGTAGTTTTGCGATTTTTCCATGATTCTTATGGGAATGAGATCTAAATATTATGTGAAATACACGATATTAGTATAGCATAGTATAGAAAAAATATAACAAAAGGGTCAAGAGCCTTTATTTAAATGTCCGTGCTGAGAAACCCGAAATCAGAAAAGTCTTATCAAACGTACCTACTTAAAAATATATGTTTTCACACGCTGATATTCTAAGGCATTTGACAATGCTAAGCACTGATCAAATAATATTATATTATCTAAGAAATAACACAAAAAACAGAACTTCGGCACTTGTCAAAACTCCAACTGAAAGTTTAAGAAACGAAAATAGTCCACATTATGATATAGATTTTTTTTAATTAAATAATATTATGAAAAACTGCATATATTTTTATAGAAAAGAAGACATTCTAAGCTTTCTAAAATGGTATGACACTTACTTGACTTCTTTTGTTATCTAATATATAAAATTCTCGTGTCGCGGTGTTTGTGGTTAAACTCCTCCGAAACGGCTTTCCCGATTCTCATGAAATTTTGTGTGCATATTGGGTAGGTCTGAGAATCGGACAACTTCTATTTTTCATCCCCCTGAATGTTAAGGGTAATCCACCCCTAATTTTTTTTTTTCAATTTTAGATAATTTTTTTATGATAAATCATCCAGAAATAAATACAACCCTAAATTTTCACCCTTCTACCACCAACCCCTATTTTTTTATGGCGGTACGAAGTTCGCTGGGTCAGCTTAGTGATACTATAAAATTATACCAAACTAACTGAAATTACATTATTATTTTTGTATTTTTTTCATCCCTGACTTTAGATGTTCTTCTTTATAAAATACGAAGAGTCAGAGACTTAAATTATAATGATTATAATAAAGTAACTCTTTACCTATAATTTGATGTATAATACATGCCTCGAATCACAGTTATGAGATGGCTTTCTTAGGCAAGTTCCCATAGTGCGTCGGCCGGTTTTCTTTATTTTAAATTAATATACTATACTCTGTTCTTTGAAAACGACAGAGCTTGTTTTATCCATCATAGCTTTTTATTTTTAGCTAAATATGATAATACTAGAGGCCGCCCGCGACTTCGTCCGCGTGAACTTTGGTTTATGAGGATCCCACGGGAACCTAAAATTTTTCCAGGATAAAATATCCTATGTCTCATTAATCAATAAAAGCGCTGTGTAAAGCACAAAGTAACGAACCTTGATATAAGGCAAAATGTCCGATGGGATATATTTTGCTGCTTTTTTGTTTGCTTTTCCGAGGATTCGAGGGACACAAGTAAAAGAATTATATATAATTTAAAAAGCTTTACTTTGTTGGCTTTGAGTAGTAATACAGTAATTGATACTGTAAAAATGTTATGGGCATATATTATTTAACTATTGAAAATTAGAGACAATCTCTAATGTTCCGTTACATACTCATTGCTTCTGTGTATGGGATTCTTACAGTCTTTGTTCATGCCTTCGAGATGTTTTGCAATATTGCAAAGTCAGACTTTATTGTGGATCTTTGGTATTGGTCAGTTTTTCAATGGCCAAAAGTACACATACCCCGTAGGTACCTCTTTTGCGTGTTAATAGTCCAAGCAATATTTAAGTGAAAGGTACAGATCATTCCGCATCTAATAGCGTTTAAAAAATTACTTGCTTATATAAATGTAGGCAAAGATCTAAAAAGTGAAGACACTTCACTAGAAAAATCGTGGACATAATATGTACGACATGTTGTTATTTTCCGATATCCACGCGTACGAAGTCGCCGGCACAGCTAGTTTTTAATAAGTCGTAAATTCATTCCTAATCAATTTAATACATGCCGATTACGATTATGAACATATTCATCGCATTGAGCAGTCATGTTCTCCCGTAAACTGCACACGACCACGACTTTTGTCTTATCGATTAGCGCAGTTCCTGCCTTGGCAAATTCGGTAGGCTGGGCTTGACCTTAGCCCCGTTCTTCTTAGTGGCGTGTTTCTAACATCTGAGTACATTTGTTCTTCTAGATTTAACCCGTCAACAGCCTACTTGATACTTAGAATACCTAAGCAATGCAAATACAACATTATTTTGCCTAAATGCTGTATAGAATGCTGCATTATAAAGATTAGTTACATATTCACTTAATTCAGATCATTTATAGTTTTGAATGAAAGTTAACCCTGTGCTTAAATACTTGTATGTTTTGATTTAAGGACATTGGTAATTTGCTTCACAACATTGAAAATGACACTGGTTCAACATCAGAACTCACAAATATGATTTCCAATATTGAACAACATTTTTCGAAACTCTCGTCTCAAATACAAAGGCATAAACACGAAATTATAAGTATAATCGTAAAATTGAAATGCTCTGAAAAGGATTCTTTACGTAAAGCTAAAACTGATGTCGAGAATTCTATCAAAGTTAGCAGGAAAATATTGAATGTTATCAAATCCATTGATGTAAATAAATCAAAACAGGTATGTCCAAACATATTCTTCTATAAATAAATAAATATTTTCAACACACACCAATTAGCCTAGCCCCGAAGTAAGCACTGTAAGGCTTGTGTTTTGGGATACTAGGGTAACGGATAGAATACATATACAGTACATATATAAGTATATTTATATAGAAATACATATTAAACATCCATGACTGGAGTACAAATGCTCGGATTCATCACACAAACATCTGCCCCCACCGGGATTCGAACCCGGGACCTCTCGAGTCGGCGACACCATGAAACCCGAAAATTGATAAATGAAATCTATGAATTGCTAATGTTAAAGATAATGCGTAATATCCTTTAATATTATATATATGTTACAGTTAAACCTCGTAGCACTTGCGGAAAGTGCTAAGCAAGTTCTTGAATCACCTTGGTATTTAAGCAGAGATGAAAACAACTCCAGTCCTCTCAAGTATGATTCCTTTGTTTATTACTAAGTATATTGGATTACTCACCAATTTAACACATATTCATTACCCTATGCAGGGTCGCAGTCAATGAAGATCTGTGTGCTTTAGTCACGGACTATATTCAATTAGAAGGAAACGTGAAATCCATATATCGGTTACGCTCCACCTCAGAACTGGGAGAAGATTTTGAAATGCCACCACCGCCTGCAGCGCCTGTGTTCCCACCTGATTTACCTAGGGGTAAGTTAAGCACACACACAATTTTTAGGATTCCGTACCTCAAAAGGAAAAAACTGAATCTTATAGGATCACTTTGTTGTCCGTCCGTCCGTCTGTCAAGATCGTTTTTCTCAGGAACGCATGGAGGTATCAAACAGAAATTCATATCTAATACTCATGTCTACTGTCCCTTGGAGCTGTGAAAAAATCAAACTTCTAAGCCAAAGCAATCAAAGGATACAGCCGTTTATGCCGCAAATTTCCGCAAACTTTCGAAACTCTCACGGGAATCAAAACCTACAGGCTACTTCCCGTGAACTTAGAATCTTGAATTTTGGTACGAAGTAACGTCTTACGGATAAAGGAAAAATTTCGAAAACCGTAAATTTTTGACACATCTTATAATAAAAAATATTTTGAAAATTTTAAAGTTACTACCTCTTTTCTCATGAACACGTAGAATTTGCACGGAATCCTCGGTGCGCGAGTCCGACTTGCACTTGGACGGTTTTTTCCAAATACAAAACATTTTTATTTTACTTAAAAGTATGTATGAGCAAGCCATACTTATTATCATAAAAATTAAAAGACAGCTCAAGTACGTGTAGAACTGTAGAGTAATGTGAGGTTCCCTAGTTGTTCATAACAATAATGTGCTAAAAAAAGCGCTTCACTTTGTTGGAAGCTTTAAACATTAACGTTTCCAAAATAAAATATGAGCAATATCCTATGGCGAAGAGTAAAAGTCGCTCGTGCTTAACGCGTTTATGAGTTCAAGGGACTAATCATTGTAATTAATTTAGGAATTGTTGTTACCTTAACTTATTTACTAGAAGAATTTCGACGCGGTCCGTGAGGGCCGCGTTAGCATAATTGGTCAGTGCATTCGCCCGGATTGCGAAGGGTGCGGGTTCGAGTCCCGTCTGCTGCCTGGTCCGCGTGGAATTTGTTCTAATTATATTTTCTTTAGATTTATTCAGACGTATCAGATTTTTCATAAAGACTGGACTCATCATCAGATGTGTCCTCGGTATTAATGATGAGTTCATTCTGTTGTATATTGTCAAAGGCAACATCTCCATCCCAGTCAGACATTATACACTTCTGGACACATCTATTGGCCCACCTTAGAGTTTAGGTTTCGATGGCCCCTACCTAAATATGATTGTTAGATTGAACAAAAACTGTTGATGCAGTTTTAAACCTGATACATTTTACCATCTTTTTCGATCGTATTGTTTTAAATTTGAATTCAGAATACCATACGACATGGAGCTACGCTTAACAAGTCGGATATGCGCCTTGTTAAAGGCAATTGATTTTTGAATAAAAAATGTTGTTGTTGTGTTGTTTGTGTTGTTGTTTATCAAATAAAGGTTTAATTTAATAACGCGTGTTGCCTCCATGGGCATCTACCACAGCTCTCATAGGATTAGGCATAGAGTTTATCAACCGCTCTATGAAATTTTGAGGGATCATCTCCCATTCCTCTTCTATGGCAGTTTTCAACTCCTGCATCGTCTGGGCAACTGGCTGACGAGCCCTAACACGTCTTTTTAGCTAGTCCCACATGTGCTCAATGGGGTTCATGTCTGGGCTTCTGGCTGGCCAGTCCATAATTGTGATGTTCACATCCCGAAGATATTCCCTGACGATGCTGGCCGCATGGGCTCTTGCATTATCATGCATAAAAAGGAAATTTGGGCCCACATAGTCCGCGTATGGTATCACGTGAGGTTCTAAGCACTCACGAATGTACCTTTCAGCATTTAATGTTGGCAGCCGTGGTCCTGTAACAACCTCAAGTTGAGTTTTCTCGCTCGCGGATATACCGCCCCAGACAGTCCATGAGCCACCGCCATAAGCAACCCTCTTTTCAAAGCAGCATTGTGCGAAACGCTCTCCCTTACGTCGGTAGACCTTCTTCCTTCCATCATTGCCATGTAACACAATTTTAGACTCATCAGAAAAGAATACACGGCTCCAATCTTGCTGTGTCCAATTTAAATGACTGCGTGCGAAATGAAGGGCCGCTGTTCGGTGGGCTCGCGTTAGTTTGGGCCCATTAGCTGGCTTGTGTGGTACCATATCGCGTTCTTTTAACCTTCTCCAAACAGTTCGAGCGCTCACAGATACTCCGTGGAAGTCGCGAATTTGTTTTTGTATCTCAATGGAGTTAAGGTGACGATTTCTCAAGCTGGTCGTCACGATGAATCGATCCTGCCTTTCAGTTGTGACCCAAGATCGTGGCCTTCCTTGGCGACGAACAAAGCCGCCAGTCTCTAGGTACCTCCGATAAACCTTTCGGAACGCAGACCGAAATTAAGTTGAGCACTCACGTTTCTTTGGCTGTGTCCGGCCTGAATAAGTGCCACAGCTTGGGCGGCGACTTCAGGTGAAGTATCCATAGATTATTGATAGAACCTCACCTCATTAATGTTAAGAATAAGTAATGTTTGTTGCAAAACCAAAGATATCAATCACTTTTTCAAGAATTAAATCCAAGTAAACCAATAAAACCAAGTGTTCTTAGTATTCGATTGTTTGATTTCAACAAACAGGCTCCAAATTGTCTTTTGTTTCTTTAAATTCTGTGTTCGAAATTCAAAAAAAGACTATTGAATGAAATTGTGAATGTGCCAGGTTTAAAACTGCATAAAAACTTTTTGCTCGACCTAATATAAAATTTTAGCTAGGACCAAACGAAACTGAAAATACAAGGTGGGCCAATAGATCCAGAAGTGTAGTTTTCTTTGTTCGTTCAACGACACCCGCCCAATTTTCAGGTGTAACATCACCACACGCGTTATTTAAAAGTTCCATCATCTTGTTTGTTGTTAACGGTGGCGCAGTGTTCTTTCTAGCGGCGCGGCGTTTCCTTTTACTTGTGCCCATATGAGCGCAATAGCATTGTACTGGCAATGGTAAGGTGGGAGTCTGAGCACAATATGTCCACATTCTGCTGCCATTTCATCAATAACATACCGTTTTGCTTGTTTATTTTCATTTAAATTGTTTACTAATTCTACTTTTTAACGTAACACTTTTGCTAACGAGGACTTTTGACCGCGAAACAAATCACTATTTCGCAGTGTAACAGCCATTTTTCATAAGGTTGGGTTGGTCGGGTCGTATATGTCGACAAATTGCATCGGTATCAAAGCTGTCAACAGCTGTAACTCGACGGGGCCGACGTTTCTTTTTATTAATTATAATTAATAAATCTAATTGTACAGAGTAATTAGTATTAGGCTAAACAAACATATAAAAAGTATACTGCTTTTTTTGTTGTATATACATACATATTACCTATGGTAAGTCACACCCTGATACAGAACAAATACTCGTGCTCATCACACAAATATTTGTACCAGGTAAAATAATAAATCTAATGAGATTTTGTAATGATTTATTAAACACCAGTAGTTTTGATAACTAAAATAATTTCGATACTTATAATCAATTAAACGATGTTCTAGCATAAAATCGATTATAGCTTTAAATCGAACGAGTTATGTGATAGGGGTTCACTATTTTTACTTCGATCGATCTGTCAAAAAGATTATAATATAATGGACAGACTATAAGTCAGATTTCTGAATGAGTGTGCTTGGATTGCATGTCTTTTTATATGGGAAAACAAACAATTGACTTATTTTATTGCTTTACGTTCTATTTCTAATTTTAAAATTTTAAAGCTTATCAGAAAAAGAAATTACAAAAAAGTTAAGTAACACAAAATAATAATAAATATAGTTTTCAAAGTGATCGCAAACTTTTTTTGATGTGTGTACAACCCTAAATTTTCACCCTTCTACCACCAACCCCTATTTTTTTATGGTGGTACGAAGTTCGCTAGGACAGCCAGTATAATATAGGATTCTACTATATTTTGCTTAAAGCAGACTTAGCCAGTTTAAAATAAAAACTCACAATTTACTGTATTTTTAGAGACAGCTACGAAAATATTATATTTGATAGAAAAAAAGTTGGTATCCCTACTCTGAGCTAAGCTGCAAACAGATGGACAGGCGAAACCATAAGGCTTCCTTAATAACTACGAAATATCATAAACGAAAGATATAAAATATAATAATAATAAATTATAATAAACAAGTTACCTATTTATTCTTCTATTGTATCTTTTCCTTTGCAGATGTAAGACAGCAGATTAAAATGAAGACAGAAAAGAAAGAAGAATCAAAACCTGGCTTCTATAAAACTGTCCCAAAGTATCATAGCAAAAGTGACTCTGTTTCATCACTTAATTCATTAGAAAGTGATTGTTCATTTAAAAGTTCTTTTAAAAGTAAGTGTTTTATGAAATCATAGTATTACAATAATGATTTTGATCATTATTATAGAAAATCTAATCCATAGTGATATTATATATATTAATAAAATAAAGATTTTCTTGTGTTCTAATTATAAAGTTACTATTATTCTAGATGATAGGTATCAAAAGCCTATGATACAGCCAGTTATGCCCTTTGAAGAAAGTCAGCATCCAAAGCAACTACATGAAGGTAATGTTGTTTGGCAATTTTTATTAATCTAATATTGACACTCCATTTGATTCCGATTGATTGATTTCCAAAGTAGCAATATAAGAACATTTTCATATCCTTATGTTATGATATTGAAAGTCGTTTAAAATAGATTTTTTATTTCTATTGTTATTATATCGAAATCATTGAGATATTATTCTGACCAATAATCCAGTTTCTCATTTCAATAAAGGCATCTACATTTCAAAAGTAAATCTGGTACCAAATCACGATTACTGTTCTCCACTATTGTTTACTAATTTTATCTTTATGTTTAGGGTCTCAAGAAATAATATATATATCGCATATCGTCAACCCTCACAACTTTTACGTGCAGCGGGCATGTCACCAAAAGTTGGTCAAAGAAATGTTGCGAGAATTCCGTAATGCTACTTCCTTGCCGAAGCCTTCCATAAGTCATGTAGCAGAAGGTATAAAAAAACTTTAATTCATATAATTAATTACTTACTATCTAACCGCCACCTTCAAAAGTGCAAACATCATTAACCAACGGAAAACAGTTGAACGTAATACGAAACCCACATTTAAATACTGTGTAAGCATTATGTGGAATCACAAATTGAATTGTTTATGTTTGATAATTTTTTCACAGGCAAAGTGTACCTTGTGTTCAATAACACCGATAACATGTGGCAGCGTTGCCGTATTATCAGTATAGACCGAAAAAACATTGACAAGCCTTTGTTTCACGTTTTTTGCTTTGATTTCGGAAGTACAGAAGTGGTCAATATTGATAAGTAAGTAATTGGTTTTTGCAACAATTGATGTTGATACAAACTTTTTGTTTACGGATTAAATAGGCACCTACCCAACATGTAACTAATAGCATTTAAATAATAATTTATATTTCCTAATATTACAAATAGAATACCTCCAGACGACCTCCGTGGCCGAGTGGTTTGTACGCCGGGTTTCATAGTGTCGCCGACTCGAGAGGTCCCTGGTTCAAATCCGGGGGAGGGGGGGGGGGGGTCAGATATGTCTGTGTGATGAATACGAGCATTTGTACTCCAGTCATGAATGTTCAATATGTATTTTCTATATAAATATACTTATATATGTCCACTATATGTATTCTATCCGTTACCCTAGTATCCCATAACAAGCCTTATAGTGCTTACTTTGGGGCTAGGATAATTGGTGTGAGTGTTGGAAATATTTATTTATTCAGATAATATATGCAGTTATTGACTGTAAAATTTAATTTGCTGAGGGTTTGGAACCCCGTTTTAAGCAAAAGTATTGTAAATATACTAACTTAAAGTAGAGGAGCCCAACCTGGGGTTATAGGATTTACTCACGCGCGACGCGGCAGAATATTAATGGGGAGACAATCTTGCACCTTTGGAAGTAGTCCCGCTATTCCTGAGCCCTTTATGTAGGGTCGAATGTCTAGGGTAGTTATTCCCATTACTGTGCGCCCAAGGGGTTTCCGTAAACATTATCTTGGTATTTCATCTTTTTCTTTGTAATAAGTTAAACAAGAAAAAATAATAGGGGTTTCCATTATTATTAAATACGATCTGAAATAGAGAAAAGGCAATACAGGGGCTCCGCGACTAAAATTGTCTCTAGGGCAGCAAAATAAATTGTCAAAAGACATAGCCAATGTGTCTACACCTCCACGTCATGACGTAGTATTATGAAAATAAAATGCACTAAAGGGCTCATGCACGAACAAAAATTAGCACTTTAAAGTTCAATATTTCGTAAACAGAACTCTTCGGAACCCCTTAGTAATTTTAAAAGACCTATTCGACGATACCCCAATCGATGGGGTAGACGATGAACAAATAAACCATCTCTAGGTTACATGTAGGGGTACCTACACTAAAAAATGTTATCCTACCATTTTGTCGGCATAATTGATATACATATCTCCACAAAATTACAACTCCTAGTGCTAACAGTCTCCAAGCAAAACCGAGGACAGACTGACACGGCCATGACGAAACTATAAGAGTTCCTTGTCTCTTGATATGAGGAAAATACATTGGATGTTTTTTTTTTTAGGTTACGTCTTTTGCCCCCGGCCAGACTACATTCTCCTTACCCACTGGCTATCAACTGTTCTTTGGCCAACTGTGTACCAAAAACGGGAAATTGGACTAGTGACGACGCCATTCTTATACAGAATATTATCGATAAGTAAGTGTTTTTTATTTACTTTATTTTATACATTTAATTACTACATATTTTATTTTATATACTGGATATTTTAAAAGCTACTTTATTTAATATACTCGCTTCCGTCCACGATTTTGCCCTCGTTAAAGTTTATTAAGCAAAATATTTAAATAATCCTCAAAAAATTGTAAATGATCGATCGTTGATCCCCTAAAAAATACAATTGGTAACCTAATCGTTAAGTGACCACATGTTTTTTATGTTAATTTAAATATGTGCTGTTTATTAAGAATCCCACAGGAACTTATTCCGAGATAAAAAAATATCCTATCTCTCAACCTAGGTGATTAACTTTATACAATTTGTTTAAACTCTCGTTAACCAAAGAAAGCTAAGAGATTTAGGTTCTATAGCCATATATTCAGCAGCTTCATTATTTTTGTTATGTTTTTAAGATAACCATATTTTGGATTTTTAGTGTATTACACCTTATAATTTTACTAGCTTTTGCCCGCGACTTCGTCTGCGTGTAATTCGAATAAAAGCAAGGTCTTTATGTATCAATAACTGGTGCCCGCGACTTCGTGTGCGCAGTATTAGTATTTCGAGTAGCTTATATTAGCGTGAAAAGAACTAACATTATGACATTAAAATTATAACATACATAATTTTTGGGTCGTATTTGAAAAATATAACAGTCTGACAATATTGAGATGTTACATTCGCACTGTAATAACGTAACAATATTGTCAACATAAGAAATACAGTAATTAAGCACTGCAAACCCCTAATCATAGGCCTATAGGTAGCTACTGCAGTATGTTTCTATAAACTATATTTAGCGATTTTTTGATTCAGAATTTTTTGTAGGACTATTTAAGATAAATATTTTCACCATACATTATATACATGTAGCACTAACTGTTTTTGCAGCACACGCCTGAATAGCTCGCAGATTGCAGAATTTTTTCAGACTTAAATGACATTTATCGTTATATTTTGGACAATTCACACAATATCTTTATAAATTATAGCCTATGTGTTATTCTGATCTATAAGCTACATTACTGTAAAGTTTCATTAAAATCCGTTTAGTAGTTTTTGCGTGAAAGAGGAACAAACATCCATCCATACATCCATCCAAACAAACTTTCGCCTTTATAATATTAGTAAGGATTTATTTATTAATTTATAGTCAGGGAACGTAGGCCCATAGATAGATACCTTAAAGTCTAACATATATACAGATTATAATGTGTTTATGGAGGTGTTTGGCGAAAAATGCATGGCAATAGACTTTATGATGTCGCCTACCATCTATAATAATTGTCTGAGCACATTTATATCTAGTGAAAATGATAATATAGTAGTGGATATTAATACCACAGTGTAATAAAAAAATATATTTATTTTATCGATCTTTACAAAATAGATTTGTTTTTATGTTATATAAACAACTTCGATCAGTCTTTGGCTGAATGTTACTACACCCATAGCCATTAAAAATGATTCGTATGTTTTCCAAACCGGTAAAATTAAAAGTCCTTTTTAAAGTAAATATATTATACAAAGGTGTTCGTTGAAATCTAATGACTGTAAATTAAATTATAAATTACGCCAAGAATTACCGTGTATGTCAATATTTTTTGTGCATTTAGGCCAATTTGAACAATCTCCTTTACATATTAAATACAGTTGTCAACAATTGGTACATTATTTTTCATACTGTCAAATAGCCTATTGAGTAACAAAGTTTCAGTATAAAATAAAGTCTCTTTCCGCGCCTGTCTGCATATCCGCCAACTCCTAAACCATGCAAAGGATTTTGATGTGGTTTAAGTTGTGTCATTTAATTATTTATCTACACTCATGCTTTAAAACCTCCCTAAAAGATTCTGAAGCAGTTAGCTTATTGCCAACATTAAAACATGCCCTAATTAAAAAAAAAACCTTATAACACCCAAACTGGTGTTATAATGTTGTACTAAATTTCCTAATAACACTCCTTCGCTTTTTCAATCCCTTCCGTGCAAAGAAAGGGTTTACTCATCAGACAGACACATTCTCACTCCTTGATGCGTGGTATTTTGGTATATTTGTAAGAATTTCAAAAAAGAACATGTCATCACGCGTTTCACTACCACAGCGCCGAAAAAAAGTTATAGGTTATTCGAATTTCGAATAACCAATATTTTCCGTCGATATTAGTTAAAAAAAAATACTACTTTGTTGTTTTGGTGGAAAAAAAATTGTGTGTGTCAGCTCCGACGCACGACCGCTCTAAAAACGATTGTCTTTGAACAGACACAAAACAAGAAGAAGTCGGTTACAAGTAGAGATACACCAAAAGCTAATAAAAGCGTATTATAAAAAATACATCAATGCGTGATAATTTTCAGAATTTTTATAATAAATAAATTAGATAATATGAAAAAAGTATTTTTTTATTTAAATTCACATTCATAGCTTTTTAAAATTGCAACATATAAATTTTTAAAATAACTTTTTTACTATAATTTGTCAATTTGAGAGCTGTTGATGGGTAAATTTGAAAGGGTTTTGCTTATAAATAAGTGGAAATATTCAAAAAAATCGATTCGTACGTCGGCAAATAATAGAATTATCTACCGACGTCCGAAGCGCTGTTTTTTTGAAAAATTTTATTTATTTATGAGAAAAACGGTTTTGAAGTTCTCATTCATTGTGAAAAAACGATAGAGACACTTTCATTTGCTCAAAAGAGAACAAGATAGAAAAAAGACTAAACCGTTCTTAAGAAATATTGTTTTACGTCAAATGTCCGCTAATCATTTATTATAGAATTCTGCTGTGGGGACTTTTAGAGACTAATGATAATAATAAGCCTTTTATGTGTAGTAAGCAGGCTGTGATCCACGTTCGCCGCATACAATCTACTAGCGACTTCACAGTGAAATTCGAGTGTGACGTCACCACCTTCGAAGACGGCGTTAGCATCGCGCACGCTCTCGTATTCCATGAAAGAGCAAAAATGTCTAACCCCAAGCTGCCGGTAAGTTCTTTATCCATACGAATATTATCAGGAGCTCGATGGCGCAAGTGATTAACGCATTCTTCTGCGATCGTTGAAGTTAAGCAACTTTCGCAGTGGTCGGTCATTGGATTGCTGACCAAAAATTTACATTGGACATTTGTAGGCTGATGATGATGACTAATATTGTAAATGCCAAAGTGTGTCTGCCTGTTACCTCTACACTGAAACCACTGAACCGGTTTACATTAAATTTGGTATAGACATAGGTTGAGTCGCGGGGAAGGACATATTTTTATCCTATAAATCGCCTTTTAAAGGAGTAAAAAGGGTGTGGAAATTTGTATGGGAAACCAATTTTTCTACGCAGATGAAGTCGTAGTACCCGCGACTTTGATAAAAAGCTTTAAAATAGAGAATAAACATATCGATTTCATACATTAATTGGTATAATTAAAGCAACACATTGGTACAGTGGTGACGTCGCCACCTTCTAGGACGACGTTATCATTGTACCTAAGTTGCCGATAGATACTTTATTTGATAAAAACATGTACTACAGAGTATAGTGCTATTCAATCTAAATGGTAGTGTTGCCATATATACGATTTTGTTCGTATCCATACGGAATTTTAACACTTAATTTGGAAAATAAGAGCATACGGAATCGTAAGGAAAATGCAAAAACACTAATAATATTTCTAATCCTAATAAAATGATTTTAATTAAACGAAACTATACATATTATTTGATCCTGCTTCAATACCACTGATATATATTCAGAGATTTTAACAAAAATCAGGCAGAAACACTGGTAAAATATAGAAAATGGCTCTAGGGAGTCTGCTCAAAATATTTAGGTTGCTTGTGACAATGAAAGAAAGAAAAGTTAAAAACCGGTATAGTGAAATTTACTATTTTATTTAGTTTTGAATTGAATCATTGGTGTCGATTCTGGCAAGATTATCTAAAGCTAAACCTAAATTTGACTGTTGTCAAGTGTATCCTTGTCATTCTCTATAAAGAATGAAAAGGAGAGACTGATGTCAAATTTAGTTTTAAGTTTAGAGAATCACGCCAGAATCGACACTAATGTCTTAATTTTTTATGTATATTATATCATATATGAAGGCATTATTTATTACTATATACGAACGCTTTATTAGCAGATAAGCGATGTTATAGCCTAAGAATAAAATTGACTCAATATTTATATACAAGTAAATTGGTTGGAAATCATTTTTATTTTATAATTTCAATAAAAGATATTGATAATTATAAACATTAATATAGATAAAATCTATACTAATATTATAAAGAGGAAAAGTTTGCATGTAAGTATGTTTGTAACGAATTGGCTCAAAAAGTGCTGGACAGATTTTAAAAATTCTTTCACCATTTGAATGCTACATTATCACTGATTAATATAGGCTTTAGTGTATTTTTTAAAAAGTTAGTTCCGTATGAAAACTTCGATAATGTAACCCAACGTGTGTAAAATATACCAAAAATAGCCTTATATCGCGTACGCTGCGGAAGTCATTGATAATAGAGCAAAGTGATGTACTAAAATTTTACAGAGGATACCAATATCTACAAAAAAGTCCGCGATACCATGTGTCAACTATTACAGTTATGTCACAATGAGAGGTCCCCTGCGGTTTCACCCGCGTTAATTTAAAAAAAAAAAGTTTATAGTGAGTCAAAAAAATATGTACAAAGGCTGTCGTGAACTTCCTTCGAATTCCGTCATACATGATTTTTGTGTAACTTTAACCGTTTACCCAGCGCAAGCAACGGAATCTTACAAATGGAATATTTTTACCCGTTTTTGTAACATTTTTCATCGCCTGGTAATATATAGCCTTCCTCGATAAATGCACTGTCCAATACAAAAAGATTTTTTCAAATCGGAACAGCAGAGCAATGTTGCATTCGGTACAACGGGTCCTAAACTACGCAACGAATTTTTTACTTGGAATGGAAGGTTTATAATTATTATGAAGAAAGTCATAGTATACGGGTGTTACAGAATTCCGCAATAAAATTTGTAGGTATCTATCTGCCTAAAACTTAGATGTGCCAACCATAAAATACAATCAACATAGATGAAAAGTTGCAGATGGGTCATATCATAAAAAGATTATAAATAACTGACATCTGCCCTTTTTTATAATCATGCCTATCTATAAAAATATACAGTTCTTGGCAAAAATCGCTTGGTTATTACGCCCAATCGAAAGGTCTGTAATGTTCTATCTACCTATTACACGACGGCAGCAATTGCGCTCTAACTAGTGTGTGTTTTATACATTTATTAATCACAACAAATATCCAATAGTCCCTTTTTCTTTGTGACTATCGCTGGGTTAATTTGGCGTCTAGTTTTCCATGCTGCCTATTGAGGTCTCATAGCGACACCATACGATATAATACAATATGCTTACAGAAACGGATTATTTTGAAAGCCGAAAAAGAAAGAAAGTTTACTGTATTTTCCTATAGCTGTACAATCTGATAGAATTGAAATATTTTATACAGACTTTTAATAAAATAAGTATGGTACTTACTTTATTTAACACAATGACCTTAACTACGATAATAATGTAGTAATTAAATTGTCAATACATTTCCAATTATAACAAACACTAACATTACCAATTGACTTCTGGCATTAATTATTCTATGACGTATGATCCGAGGCCACGTGAACTGTGCGGTAAATATGAATAGAAATTTTAGGCATTGGCACCTGTGTCGGCGCGTGCGACAGCGCTAAAAGATGCCGCGCCTCACCCCCTCTCGCTAAAATAAAATACGATGGGTTCTGCAGTGTATAATTGTGTGTATTGTCAATTAATCTTTATTTAGCTGTGCAATCGGAGTTAACAAAACTAATATTTTCAATAATGAAATAATAATGAAAAGCTATTTGCATCCAATTTAGTGTTTGTAGAACCTTTATTCATAAAACCAGTGCTATTAAAAGTCATTATCAGACTAAGTTATTTGTCTTAATATTTAAGAAATACATTTTAGTATCTGACCAGTAATAAAAAAAATAGTTTAAAAAATATTTTGTCCCGGGACGCGACATGAGTGAAAACCTGCGCTTTACGTTAACCGACCGATCGCTTTCAAGGGATTCTAGACAACTTTTTTAAAACGGAACCCTAAAATCGTCTTTTAAGCATTGTTATTTTTTCCAACATTTTTTTTATTAGTCGTGGTGCGTGTGCCGTCAATGTGATTTGATTATACGTACGTTGCAATTGCATTTAACGAAAATGAGTTCATATTCTAATAGTGAATTTTATGAAATGATTTTATGTGTTGGTGCTGCTTATGGAAACATCAATCGTGCTCGTGATTCGTATAGGGAGAGGTTCATCGACAATAGGCCGGCTGCTAAACAGCGGCGGCTTCCGTCTTACAGCTGCTTCCGGAACTTGTGCATGCGGCTCCAGAGCACAGGGAGCTTCCACATTCCAGCTCGTTCGGGACGCCCTAGTACTCGGGACCCCGTGTTGGAGACTCGAATATTAGATTATTTCGAAGAACGCCCGAGAACGAGTACTAGGCGAGCTGGCGCCGTTTTTAATATCAATCATTTGTTGGTATGGCGGACATTGCGAAGTGATGGTCAGCATCCTTATCATTTTACTAGGACCCAGGGATTGATTCAGGCGGATTATCAACCGATGGTAAATTTTTGTACTTGGTACATTAATCGCTGCCAAGCTGAACCCAGTTTTGCCTGCAAAGCAAGGACCGATATGGGTACCCGTATAGGTGTTTTAATCGGTTTAATTTTAACGATTAGGTTAAAAACCCGACATAAAGGGTTAACCTGTATAATTGATTAATAACCTCTATATAAACCGGTTCTTACGTAGAGTCCTTTTTTGTTCAAAATTCATACATAGAAAGAGACACACGGCTAGCTAGCTGTGATTGGCCCTTCAGTGAAGTGACGAGTTATAACTTGACATGACCTCGTCGTCATTACACCAAGCTAAATTGATTCTTTGGTGCTTTCTTTTTAAGTTTATTTGCGAGTAATTTGTATTGATTGTATTGTAATTGTAGCACGTGCCGCTTGCTGCCCGGTATTACCTATTGTTTATTTACTTCGATCACTTTCTTTATAAGCTGAGCTGAATCATCGAAAGTTTTGCGTTATATTATATAACGCAAAACTTCTAATCTAAAATCTAGTTCATTTACATTTTTAATAATAAACTAACTAAGTGCTTCTGTGTGATTGAACTGTGATAATGCCAAAAGTGAAAAAAGATGCAGTTCATAGGCACTTTACGTATGAAGAAGAGACGAATTACAGTCAGTGCATACATTGCCAAGGTAAAATAAAGGTAGGTACCTATGTTCCCATTTTTTTGCTTTGATTATGTGAGGTATGGTATGAACATTGTGTAGGTATTTATAAAATAAATAGGTAGGTACGTACACAGGTACAGCAATCTATTAGGTACTTAGTACATTAAACAAAAGTTCAGTAAAAAAAGTTTTAAACGCTTTTTTAATAGTAGTATTTATTTATATGTTTTTATATTATTACTAGCTTTTGCCCGCGGCTTCGCTCGCGTTAGATTTGATTTTGAGTAAATGAACTCCATACTATTATGTATAACTGAGCGCTGCGCGTTCTCCGCACTCTTTCTCAAAAGCAATTAATCGTAAAACAAAATGCTTGACACTGACACACAAATTGTAGAGAATTTAATGCTGTACAATTTTTATAATAGGTACAAATACGATCGAACGCATAGAAAGCGAGATATTTGCGAAAAAGGGATTTGTGACCTTTGACCTTCAATATCTGAAGAAGCCGTCATGAGATTATAAATGAGACTTTTGACACATCATTAAGAATGCCAAAACAAAGGTTCTTACAAATTTTCAGCTTATTACCTCTCATTCCGAGGTTGACCCGTTTTTTGCTTCATATAGCTGTAATAGTAGGGTAAAAGCCGGATAGATACCCCACTTTTTAATAAAGC